AGATTTCTCTCATTTTCCTTCATTTTGTTTTTACTAATTTTTTTTTTCTTATTTGAGTATAGTTGAGACACAATGTGCCTTTAGTTTCAGGTGTACAACATAGTGATTCAACATCTGTATACAGACCATCTGTCACCATACAACCTTATTACAATATCACTGACTATTTCTTATGCTGTATCTTTTTCTTTTTCCTTTTTTTTTAAGTAGGCTCCACGCCCAGCGCAGATCCCAATGTGGGGCTTGAACTCAAAACCATGAGCTCAAGACCTGAGCTGAGGGGCGCCTGGGTGCTGACAGCTCAGAGCCCGGAGCCTGCTTCCCATTCTGTGTCTCCCTCTCTCTCTGCCTCTCCCCTGCTCGCACGTTACCTCTTTCTCTCTCAAAAGTAAAATAAAACATTAAAAAAAAATAATAAACTACATGATGAGGGCAAAATACAGGCTGGCACCCCCCACCCCCCAGGGGGGATCTGTGTGATATTCCTCGGACACTCCTGGCTCCCCGAGAACACAGGAAAGGGGCTTCAGTGCTTGCCACGGTGATGTGGGAAACTAAGGCGAATGAAAAATGAGCTTCCCTTACTGCCCACAGCCCATTGACAAGTCCTTGAAACTGGCAGAGTGACCTCTAGGAGCTCAGCTGCCCCATGCTGACACTTTGCCGGGGGGCGAAAGGGAATCTTGGCTTCAGGGTATCTTGACCCCCCAGGCTCCTCTAAGTTCCTTTAACATAGAAAAATTCCTTTGGAAACTTCCTTTATCTCCACTCCCCCAAGATACATGCTGGCAATCATACTCCAAGTTTATGGCCCCCACATGTACATCTGAAGGGTCCCATACTATTTAGTTTTACTAAATAGTAATATGGCATTTCCATAGCAACAGCTAGCCCTTCAAGGTCCCAGCAACCTTGCTCCCCAAATACCTTCCAGACTAACTCTATCCCTGATCCCCTCCCAACCTGAAGGTATGTAATCAGTTACCCGTCACGACCCCAGTGCAGCTCTTCCTGCCCACGGGTCCTGTCCCCGTGCTTTAATAAAATCACCATTGATTTTACTGACCATTGATTTTGAAGATCAAAGACGTCTTCAAGAATTCTTTCTTGGCTGTTGGCCCCAGACCACCCCACCTCCCCCCAAAACTTCATCATACAGACCGTCCCCAACTTATGATTTTTTGACTTTTCGACTGTGCATTCAGTAGAAACTGTTCTTCAGATTTTGAATTTTGATTTTTTCCCCCTGGATTCATTTATATGGGGTACAGTACCCCCAGGCTGGGCAGTGGCAGCGAGCTGTAGCTCCCAGTCAGCCCCATGATCACAGGGGTAAAAAACCTACTCACTTTCAACCATTCTGCACCCATATAACCATCTGCTTTTCCCTCTCAGTACAGTATACAATAAATTACATGAGATATTCAACATTTTATTATAAAAGAGGTCACGTTCCCGATCAAATGTTTACTTCTCAGAGACGTGCTGAGAACGATTGAACACCCTGTCTAACATCACACCGCATAGGGGCACCTGGGTGGCTCAGTCGGTTGAGTGTCCGGCTCCTGATTTCAGCTCAGGTCACGATCCCAGGCTTGTGGGATCTCGTATCGGGCTTTGCACTGAGTGTGGAACCTGCTTGAGATTCTCTCTGTCCCTCCCCCATGCCCTCTCTCTCAAAATAAACAAACATTAAAAAAAAATAAAACCACACTGCATCACTTTCTTTCCCATTGTATCACACATTTCCTTGTTTATTTCCTTATTTTTTATCCTCTCATTAAAATATCAACTACAGCTTAGCAGGATTTTTTCATCCCCCTTCCCCTCCACGCTCTATCCCTAGGTCCTCAGCACATCAAAGGCATTCAATAAACATCTATATATATTTTTGAATGAATGAATGAGTGGACATATTTTCCCATTAGCCATTGCCCCAACCAGACTTTGACTTCCCTGAAGGGCAGAGCCTGCGTGTGTCATAGTGTATCCTCAGCACTTAATATCTGATGGAAGCAAGTAGTCAACAAATGCAGGTAAAATGAGAAAAGAATACAGACCTGGCAGAAAGTAGATCTTGTGCAAATGGGCACAAGAAATCTTTTCAGGGTGATGGAAGTGTTCTAGAATTGGATTGTGGTGATGGCTGTACTACTCTGTAAAAGCAACCCCAAATCACCAAAACACTTAAACGGGGGACTTTTATGACCTCCTTTGTATACAACTATTAAAACAAAGCAAAACGTGTTGAGGGAGTAAATGAATGTTCCCTAAGTGGTGCTGGTCGTCTGAGCCTTACTCTGTGCCCCGACTGTGCGGGCACAGTGGTGACCAAGACAGCCTTTGTCCCTGCCTTCACAGGCCGACAGTGACAGCCCAGGGGCGTGGGGACCACGATGGGGAAGCAAGGGCAGGGTGGTCAGGGATGGGATTCCTCCAGGAAGCACAGGAGACTGCTGATCCGGATGGGAAGACTCAGGGAGCACTTACTAAAGAAGCCTACGGCTGAACCAGAGCCTGAAGAATGTTGATGGCTAAGACGCCAATTTTTAAATTAAAAAAAAAAAAAATACTTTTTCTGCCTTAGCATCGGGTCAGGCAGGTCTCTCTTTCCGAGCCACGGCTCCGGCTTTCCGCGAGTTCCCGAGGACATGGCCACAAGGGGGCGCTGCTCTCCCGCGCTCATGCTCATCCACGTGGCTATGCTAGAGCCTGGAGGTCCGGCGGGGGCAGTGGAGGGCGGGGGCTGTTTCGGGGAGTGGGGAACCTTTCCAAAGAGACTCCGGCACCAAAGCCGGTGTAGAGCCGGGGGGGGGGGGGGGGGCCGCCCCTCGGCTGGAACGAAGGGCGGAGCTTTCCAAAGAGCATGGGGCAGGGGGCGGGGCGCTAGGCACTGACTCGCTTGGAAGGTTCTAAAATAGCCCTAGCTGCTCGGCTAGCGCTTGGAGAGGAGGCACCTCGAGGGGCGGGGCTCCAGCAGGGGGCGGAACCCTCCTGAGAGCACTAGGAGCGGGACACGTGGGCTATTTCCCCAGGGGCGGGGCGCGGGGGAGCCGCTGTGGGGGTGGTCAGGGCTTTCCAAACAGAACTGGAAAGGGGGCGCTGAAGTAGCCGGAGCTGGATGACCCCAGAAAAATGACCTTGATGGCAGTAGGATGGGGCGGGAGTAGGGATGCAGCACTGTGGGGTTAGGTGGGACGAGGTTACCAGATAGGGCGGGGGTGTTAATTCGGCATCTCCAGGGTTCTGAGAGCCCAAGGCTGGGGGAAGTGGAGGGTGGCAGGTTAACCCCAGATCTATGTTCTCTGTGGAGAGACAAGCACCATGAAGAGCCAGTCTCCATCATGTGTGGGAAGATGGGGAAATTGGCTAAGGGGAGCCTGTGGGAGGTCCTCGGGAGATAACGGGCCTGTGGGGCTCCTGGGACCAGAACATCTGCATCTACAGGGACTATTGGGGCAGGGGCGGCTGAGAAAGATGACTCTGGACACAGGAAGAATAGTTTTGGGTAAAGATCAGCCAGTGACAGGGAAGAGGGTTTTGCCTCTGTCCCTGATTTTGTGTGCGCAGCGTGGCCTCGGTTTCCCCATTAGTCCGAAAGTCTGAACCATCTCTGTCCAAGTCCCAAGCCCTTTTTGCCCTTCTCCCTTGCCAGCGCAGCGGTCTGCCTTGTTGAACTGCTGAGCTTGCCTCTTCTGTGCCTGGCCCTGTGCCGGGACACCAAAGTGACTGAGACACACCCAGACTCACCCCTCGCTCACAGTCCAGTGGGGGACCAGACAGCGACTGCCCAGAATGGGTCGGGGCTGGGGCTGAATTAGGGCCTGGAGGCGGAAGCCCCGGGGCCCAAGTGGGGAGGGGCGCTCCTGACTCAACCTGAAGGGTCAAACTTTGGATGGGAGGGGGCGGGGCAACGGAAGAGGCTCCCTAAGAAGAGGTGATACTTTGAGGCCTGAAGAATGAGTGGCATTCTCTGGGCAAAGGTGCTGTGTCAGGAAAGGTGTTGTAGGCAGAGGGAAGAGCATCTGCAAAGCTTGGAGATGAGAAAGTGTGGCTTATTTCTGCTAGAGTCCTGTGCTCCCTCCCTGGGGATCCCTGGGCACCCTGGTAGAGCTGTCTGGCACAGGTCCCCTAGTCCAGGGTCCACATCTGGTTTATAGGCTGTAAACTCCAGAGGGCAGACTCTAAGCTTATTCCCTTGCAGCCTGGTGGTTTAATGATTGGCCTTGAGGTTGGCTAGGAGCTGGGTTTGAATCCCAGCTCCCCCACAAATCAGATGTGTGGCCTTGGGCAAGTGACTGAATTTCCCAATCCATCAGCTGGGGATATAATCTTGGGTTTCACAAAATCAATCACCTCATTTTCAAGAGCTATAAATAATTAAGCATATAATTTATACATTGCATATTTTAAAGTATGTAACTTGTAGATTGTATCAAGGGACCCAAGAAACAATGTAGAGACTTAAAAACAACATGTTGCCATGTCAGATGACACTTTGGCCTACGTTATGGAAAATGCAATCGACCAAACAAGAATTTTCCAGCTTAAAGATACAGGATTCCAAACCTGGTTATTTAAAATTTCAATACTGAACTTATTCCCAGCCAAATACAATGTTTTAAATTCCTTGGTTCAAAATCTGTAAGAGTTAGAAATTGGGGTGATTAATTTTGGGTCCCCTTTAATACTCACCTCTCACGTGCCGGGTCAGCATTCCCTGCGACCATGTTATGGCTCCGAGGTTACTGTGCAGGGACACCCCCCCCCCCTTTTTTTCTTGCTTTTGAGATGACTCAGGAGGAAAGGCTCTGTCACCACACCATCCCCCCTGGACACACCCTGCTGTCCGAGGGGCACCATTATAGTCTTCCTTTATTGGCTGTCCTTGTATAATACAAATCTGTGAGTTTAGATACAAAAAAATCTGGAAATAAAAGATAGAAAAGTACCCGCCAGGCACCCCCCTTTTCCCCGGGCCCTTCCCCAGCGGGCACTGACGTGAGGTAACTGAGCATCTCCTTCCTCTTCCCCCCACCCCAACTCCTGGGCCCCCAACTTGGCCCCTGCCCCCACGAGACCTTGGCCCAAGGAAGATGTGGGCCCCCGAGTGGGGGAGAGGGGTGATAGGGGTGAGCACAGCATTGGCAGTGAACGCAGCAGGTGGGCAGAGGGAAGCCCTTTGCTTGTGCTGTGTCTGGAAGGGGACGGCCAGACTTGGGGTGGGCACTCCTGTGGGGTCCAGAAGAGCCCCTAAGTGGGCCTCCCTTTTCCATCCCACCCAACACTGAAAGGTCGAAGGTCAACAACAGAAACTGGGAGATGTAGCTTGAACCGAGGGCACTCAGTGGGACGGTGGCCATCCCGCTGTGTCTGGGGTTTGGGGGAAGGGGGGAAGGGCACCACCAGCCTAAGTCTGGCAGTGAAATGGGTCCCTTAGCCAGGCTGGTCCGTCCCTGAATCCCATCCTGTCACAACCTGGGCGTTACAATGTCGGTTCTGTAGTGGTTGTGGGGGGTGGTCCCCCGGGGCCCCCCCGCCCCCCCCCGGGGTGGGGGGGTGGGGCGTAGCCCCAGGGAGTGGGACTAGGGAGAGGTTGGGCCTCCATTCCCAGGTGTGGGCACCTGGAGATGCTGGGGTGGGCAGGGCAGCTCGGGCTACAGTTCAATCTCGAAAGTCTTCTGCAGGTCGCCCGAGAAGGGGTTGGAAGGCTTCTCTACAGCAGGTTTGCCTTCTAACGCTGCCCACTGAGCCTCAAAGGGGTCCAATTCGGGGGCCGGGGCAGGTGCTGGCTCTGGGGGCCAGGGTGCCCCATTGGGGCGTGGGCGGACCTGGCCCCCCGGGGCAGTGGGCATGGCCGGGGGTGGGAAGGCCCCAGCTTTCCCGAGCAGGGTGGCTGGCTGGGGCTGGAGCTGGGCAGCTGAGCAGAAGGCATTGGCCACCATCTGTGAGGGTGTGATGCCCACCACGGGCACCCGGGGCATGGGCGGGTAGCCCAGGCCCGGGTAGGCGGGCACAAAAGGGGGCTGCATGTGTGGGGGCGGCAGGAACACGGCCACCTGTGCAGGTGTAGCGTCGAAGGGCCCCACGGGGGCGGGAAAGGGCTGCAGGGCAGGGGCCACAGGGGGCACTGAGGCCGCTTGCTGCTGCTGCTGCTGCTGCTGCTGCTGCTGCTGCGCTTTGGCCACCTGGGACACCTCCTCTAGCCACCTCTCGGCCTCCGAAGGGGTTCGCTTGTGCCCGGGCTGGAAGGCCGCTGCAGGGGGCACGGAGGACTCACCCCAGGCAGAAGTCCCTAGAGGGAGGAGAGGGGTAGTTGAGGGGCATGGGCGGCAGCCAAGAGAACCCGAGCCTGGGGATCAGAGTCTGCAGCCAGGCCGCGTGCCTTGAATCGAGTTCTGCTCCTCACTAGCTGTGTTGACTTTGGGGCAAGTGGCTTAACCATCCTGGACCAGGGCATGGTTCTGAAGTGCTAGGAAAGTACAGTGCTGAGATTCTAAGGCCCTAAGATGGGAAAGCACAGGCAAGACTGACAGGCACCAGCCCAGCTTCCCTTCTGATTGGCCAGTGCCAAACCTATTATTAAATATTTTTAATACCACCGTTCGTTCTGGTACTTTGACAATGTATTGTTTTAGGAGGCTAAGATTTAAAGACTGCACAGATCGTTCTCAAAGTGTACAGGTCTCACCTAGTGAGTGAGGTTCAATGGTTTTAAGCTTGTGTTCTCGAAGATTCTAGAGATCTAAATTGATAGTGCAGTTCCAAGTGCTTCCATGGTTCTAGAACAAGCTCATGGCTCTAAGGTGGTTCCAAGGTTTCATGGTTCCAGAACTGGACATTCTAATATCCTGTGATTCTGAGGCTGTAGGTTTCTCAATTTTATGGTTCTAGGACAGGAAAGTTTAAAATTGATCCCGTGGTTTGAAGTGGCCCCCCATGATTCTAACGTTATCTCATGGTTCTAGGATGAGCCCATGGCTCTGAGAAGACCCTGTGATTCTAAGATGATCCAAGGCTCTGAACTGATGCCACGGTGCCAGGACGGTCCCATAGCCTTTAGATGATCCGTGGTTCTAAGACCGTGGGATTCCAAGGTTCCTGGAGTGTCTGAGGTACTCCCTGAGTGGAGCAGGGGGCTGTAGGGGGGCACTGCAGGGGGGCACTGCAGGGAGGGGCAGAGTTTACCTGCTGAGGCTGGTGGTGGCCCGGGTGCGGGTGCTCCAGCACTGGCGAAAGACGAGCTGATCTGTGTGCACAGAGCATTGATGCCGTCGCTGTCACTGGCTCCAGGGGGCTCCATCTCAGGCACTGGGAAGTCAGGGAAGGGTGGAGGTCAGAGAAGAGGCCCAGGCCCTACCCTTGACCCCGTGCCCTTAGGTGGCCCTCTCTCGCCACCTGGGGTCCTTTCCCTCACAAGGTGTGTAGGTTGTGGGTCTACTCTGCAGTAACCCATGGCCGGGGCCATGAAAGTGCTAACTCCGTGCTTGTGTGTGCGTGACATCTGAGTGGTACGACAGCCAAATGGTAAGTGACATTTTGGTGGCTGGGGTCCCAAACCAAGGAGGACATCATGATCTGTGTATAGTGGGGCACCTGGGTGGTTCAGTCCGTTGAGCATCCGACCTCGGCTCAGTTCACGATCTTGTTGTGGTTCATGAGTTTGAGCCCCGTGTGGGGCTCTCTGCTGTCAGCACAGAGCAGGCTTTGGATCTTCTGTCCCCCTCTCTCTCTGCCCCCTCCCCCACTCGTGTGCGTGCACGTGCTCTCTCTCTCTCTCTCTCAAAAATAAACATTAAAAAAAAATCTGTGTGTAGCTACAAATCAGGAGAAATATTTTAAATGTTCGACAATATATATTAATTAAAAGATAAATCCGACCACATACATGGCAAGAGCTCTGATGAGTCAGGATGAGCGCTGGCCACACTGTTGTGCGGTGTCTGGGGATCATTCGTCCTCCTTTGGGTGGAGAAGGGGGGGGGCCCTGTCCACCACACCTGGCCTGGCCTATTACACACATCATGAAGCTAGAGATGCACCTGTGCCAGCAAGACAGGGGACGCTGAACAGGTGCGGTGGCCTCATGAGAGCTTGGGATGAAAAAAAGTGCCATCCAAATAGACAAGAGAAATGCCCGTGTGGTGGGACAAGAGCCTGTGACATCTCAGCTAGCGGTTGTCTCCAAGGGAGCACATTCAATGCCCCACTGAGCATCAGAAAGAAATGGGCTGGAGGACTTAGCAGGTGTGACGGGGCGTGCCCACGTGGGAGGGTGCGTGGTTTCTAGGTCAAGTCTATGATGACTGTAGTCCAAATAGGTGTGCAGCTTCTGAGGGCCTGGCATCTAAGTGTGACCGAGATCCAGGCGCGTGGCGTCTTGTGATTCCCAAGTGTGAGCCACTCCAGGCAGCCACGTGTGACGTATAAATGTGTTTGCAAGCGTGCGTGAATCTGCAGGTGCGGCTTCCATGTCTGTGCGAATCCGGGTGTGTGGTTTGTGAGTGTGCGCCAATCTGCGTGGGGTATCTGGATACGTGCCTAAGTGTGTGTTAATGGAAACATCTGGTTCTGTGACACCCAAGAGGGGGTGTGACTTTTGAGTCACATTGAGCGTGTGACTTCTGTGTGTGGCACCTGCGGCAGAGTGACATGTGTGAATCTGAAAATTCCGGGGGGCAGGTCACATCCAAGCAAGTGTGCGACTGGCTACGGGCACGTGAAGCTTCCACCTGAAGTGTGGGGGGCCTGCCACCTCTGAGGGAGCGTGTGTGACAGGCCTGGGGGGTGCGTCATGGCAGGGTGCATGAGGACAGCAAACCCGAGGCTGTGTGAAGGCCGAGGGACACTGCGGGACACGGAGCGCGTGTGCGTCAGTCTCGGCAGGCACTGGCATCTGCTCAGCAGTCACCTTTGCGAGCAGCCCAGCCTTCTGGACGCAGATCAACGCCTCCCACGCCAGTCCCCGAGGCCACGAGGGGTGGGTGTCTCCGATCTGGCATGTGGAAGCAGGAAAGTGGGCCAGACCACGTGACTTCACCAACCGCTGGGAGGAGAGGCAGCCCGTTTGCCCACCTCCCTGGGGCAGAACACGGTACCATGCCACCTCTCTTCCCCCTCTCTCGTGGCAGACGTTGCTTTGGGAACATGACACATGCCACCTCTCTCCTCTTCCTGGCCCATGGCAGACATTAGTAATCAAGCACGATGCGTTTTTCCCACTCAACTCTTTGCTCACCGTCCCCCTCACCTGGCCAAACCTCATGGCTCTACTGGCCAAATGCTGGGTCCGTGTAACTCCATCTTCCTTCCAAGAAAAACAGAACAGCTATACTGCCTCTCCTATCACTGCCCAGGGCAGGCACTGCTAATAGATGACGCATCACCGCTTGCCTCAGCACTGTCCCTGGAAGATGGGGGTGCTGCTTCCGCCCGATCCTCTGCCGGCCAGCGACATCACAAATTCATCACTATGCTCCGCGACCCCTGATCCCCGTGCTCACGTGTGCCCTTCACCTCATGTCTCCACTGGCCAAATTCTGGGAACTCTCCTTGGGCACAACAGAACTTCTGCTCTCTCTTCTCCCTTATCCATGGCAACCTTCACTAATCAATCATATGGTGTATCGCCTCGCTCCTTTTTCTTGCTCATGGCAGGCACTGTAAGGAGATCATGACATATGCCGTCACTCTATTCTCCCTGCCCTGGGCGGACGCCGTTAACCCATCACAATCCGCCCTTACTCTGAGCCTGTATCCCTCACCTAGTCAGATCTCATGTCTCTCTGGCCAAATGCTTGGAGGGAGCATTAGCCTATGGAGTCTCAGTCTCCTCCTGAGCAAAAAGGGGCGTCTAGGCAGCTTTGCTCTCCCCCGGAACCCATGGCAGGCTTTGCTAATCAATCATGATGCCTGCATGTGTGAGGTACCTCTCGGTTCCGTACCTAGAGCAAACATTACTAATTGATCATGGCTTATGCCATCCTTTTGCTTTCCCTTGCCATCAGTAGACACTGCTAATCGATCATATTTGCACTACCCCTCCCCCCCACCCCCTCGATGGTGGCCGACACTGCTAATCAACCATGCCGTGTTCCACCCCTCTTTCCTTTCCCGTGGCAGACAGTGCTAATCAATCAAGGTGTATCCACCTCTTCTCTATCTGTTGCCTCCTACAGAGGGTGCTATGGTATTGATCCTGATGTTCTTCCCACTGAGACACGGGCTCACCTGTGCCCTTCACCTGGAAGTCAGTGCGGCGCTGCAGTGTGGACGGCAGCTCATTCAGCCGTAGGCTCAGCTGCCGTTTGAAAGGTGAGTTCTTCTGGCTGAGTGCTGGGAACCCGCGGAAGGAACCCTGGCGAACCAGCTGCTCCAGGGGGGCGTGGCGTCGGGGGATGGCAGCTGCACTGGTGCCTGCGGCCACCGGGGTGCCCGCCTCACCCTTCTCCCCAGGGGATGTGGTGGCCGGCGTCGGGGACACATGCCCAGGCTGGGCAGGGCCAGGAGCCGCAGATGGGGCAGCTGCTGCCTCTGCTGGAGACAAGGCGGGGGGACAGGCGGTTAGATACCCCACCGGGGCATTTGTCCTCTCTCACCCAGCCCCCTTGATCGTCCTCCAACGCTGCCTTCCTCACCCAATGTGTCCTCTCCTCGCGACAGGCTGGTAAGAGCCCTGAAATGCCTCTCAGCTTCACCAAGCCAATACCGCCTGCCCCAGGAGGCTCTCGGGAGTCCTCCTCCAGCCCAACCTTCTGTGTCGCTAGTTTCTGCCCCCAATCTGGCTTTCTCTGCTGCTTCTTCTGTTTTTCTCTCTGAGACCTTCTGTCTCCCTTTCTGATTAATTTAACTAACGCTTATTTGGTGCATAATGAATGTATCAGGCATTGTTCCAAATGCTTGCAAGTATTCAGTGATTCGAGCCTCACAGCTACCCAATGAGGTCGATATGACCGCTATCCCCATTTTACAGATGTGGAGACTGAGGCCTAGCAATGGTAAGTGACTCTGCCCAAGCCACAGTGCTAGGAAGGGGCAGGCTGACCCCAGAGTCGGTGTCCCAGACAAGTGCCCTAACCTGTCTCTCCCTCTGGCCTGCTCTCTCCGCATCATGCTGTCTTCCTGTCATTCTGTCTGTTTCCTACCATTCTTCCCACCTCAACTATTTCGCCCCTCCCACCGTTGCTACCTACTGTTCTAGACCCAGCTTGTTCCATCCTCTCCACTCTGGGACTGCCCTCTGTCCTCTGGGGGAACCTGGTCTCCCCACCTAGTACAAGGTGGGATCTTCAGAGGCAGGGACCCTCCCCCCCCAAGCCCTGTCAAAACACAAATATACACCCATCCTCCAATCAGGGCCTCACCCGAGCTGCAGCCCAAATTGGAGACTAAACTCAGGCCCAGAGAGGTAGGGAGGTCACCCAGCACTGCTTCTCCCATCTTCCAGCTGGAAGCGGTGAGGCTCTCACCCAGGCCTGGCTGGGGGCAGCTTGAACCACGTGGGACAGGTTGGAACCAGGAAATCACCTCTGTCCCCACCTTAGCCCCAGTTTCCCCGACTAAACCTGGGGTAACCACCCCTAATACTGCCCTCCTGAGGCCTCCTGAGAGGGTCAGTTGAGGCAGCGAATGTTCAGTGCTTTGGAATCTGACAAAAGCTTGGTAAACAACACTGTGAAAAGTGCACTGGTTCGCAACTCCTAAATTGGAAAGAGCTCTTTGTCAAAGGGCAAGTGAGGTGCCTTGAGACTGTAAATCGGCGCATCTACAGCAAAATGCTGGGTGATGTGTTCAGCAAATCATACCATACTTCGTAAACTCTCATCTTGCTGTGCAAGCTGTAAAGTGCTTTCTATAATGCAAAGTACCTGGAAACTATAACATCCTTTGGAAACAGTAAAACCGCTTGCAAACTCTAAAGCGAATGACATGTTTTGTAAATTCCAATAGCCTCTAGAAACAGTAAAGAAATACCTGTAAACCGTGAAGGACTGTGTACCCAGTGCGTTCATTTGTAAACAATATAAAACATCATATACTGGACCAGGCCCTCTGTTAACTTCATTTTGTATCTGCTTTGTGAATGGTAAAATACTTTACAAATTCAAATAGATGATGAAGGGGCACCCGGGTGGCTCAGTCGGTTAAGCATTGGACTTCGGCTCAGGTTGTGATCTCACAGTTCGTGAGTTTGAGCCCATGTCAGTCTCCGTGCGGACAGCTCCGAGGCTGGACCTGCTTTGGATTCTGTGTGTGTCTCTCTCTCTGCCCCTCCCCGGCTCGCTCTCTGTCTCTGTCTCTCTCTCAAAAATAAATATTAAAAAAAATAGATGATGTAAACTGTAAAATATTTTGTAAGCTGTGAAGAGCTTTGTAAATTGTCAAGAGGTTTGTAAATGGTCATGTTATTTATAAATAGAAACATACTCTGGGGACACCCATATGGCTCAGTTGGTTAAGCCTCCGACTCTTTGATTTCAGCTCAGGTCATGATCTCACCGTTTGTGGGACTGAGCCCCAGGCTGTCAGCATGGAGCCTGCTTGGGATTGTCTCTTCCTCTCTCTCTGCCCCTCCCCTGCTCCCTTGCTCTCTCTCTCTCAAAATAAATAAACATTAAAAAAAAAAAAAAAAGAAACATACTTTGTACACTCTAATATCCTAAGTAATAAAAGCTTCTGTTTTCCTAGCTCTTTAGTTAGAAATATTTTATTATTATTATTATTATTTTTTTTTAGTTAAAAATATTTTGATTTTGGGGGCACCTGGGTGGCTCAGTTGGTTAAGCATCCGACTTCAGTTCAGGTCATGATCTCACGGTTCATGAGTTCAAGCCCCATATGAGGCTCTGTGCTGACAGCTTGGAGCCTGGAGCCTGCTTTGAGTTCTGTGTCTCCCTCTCTCTCTCTCTCTCTCTCTCTGCCCCTCTTGCGTTGTCTCTGTCTCTTCTCTCTCTCAAAAATAAATAAACGTTAAAAAAATTTAAAAAAAATCATGTCCCTTATAGACACAGGTAATCCAAAATCCAGTTCAGCGTTCAGGGTCACCATACCTTGTGTTTATTACTACTTGTCAAATCTCTTTAGTCTCCTTTAATCTGGGTCAGTTCCCCATGGTAAGTTAAGTTCTTTGTAAATTCTTTTTTTTTTTTTTTTTTTTTTTTTTTTTTTAGAGAGAGAGAAAGAGAGAGGATCTTAAGCAGGCTCCATGATCAGCATGGAGCCCAACGAGGGGCTCATTCTCACAGACTTGAGATCATGACCTGAGCCGAAATCAGGAGTTGAATGCCTAACCGACTGAGCCACCCGGGTGCCCCAGTTCTTTATGAATTCTAAGCAGTGTTTTCCAAAAATTAAAAAACTAGAATACACACACACACACACACACACACACACACACACACACAAAACTGGGGGCGGGGGCACCTGGGTGGCTCAGTCAGTTAAATGACAGACTGATTCTTGGTTTCAGCTCAGGTCATGATCTCCACAGTTTGTGGAGCCCCACGTCAGGCTTTGTGCTTGACGGCGTGAGGCCTGCTTGGGCTTCTCTCTCCCTCTCTCTCTGCCCCCTACTCTACTCTCCCCTACAGCTCTCTCTCTCTCAAAATAAATACATAAACTTAAAATTACACTGTGACTCAGAACACAGTATGCTTATATTTTTAAAAAAACCACACTGTTTCAGGGGCACCTGGCAGTTCAGTCAGTTAGGCATCTGACTCTTGATTTCGATTCAGGCCATGAGCTCACATTCATGAGCTCAAGCCCTCCATTGGGTTCGGGGTTGGGTGTGGAGCCTGCTTAAGATTCTCTCTCTTCCTCTCCACCTGCCCCTCTTCCCCCCCGCCCCAACATGCAGGTGGGCACATTCATGCTCTGTCAAAAAAAATTAATTAAAAAAAAAAAAGAACACAGTTTTAGAACTTACGAAGTATTTGCCACTTATGTACAATGTTAGAGTTTACCAGGTTTTTTTCTTTTTTCTGTGTGTGTGTGTGTGTGTGTGTGTGTGTGTGTGTGTGTTTATTTTTGAGAGGGAGAGAGAGACAGAGCATGAGCAGGGGAGGGACCAAGAGAGAGGGAGACACAGAATCCGAAGCGGGCTCCAGGCTCTGAGCTGTCAGCACAGAGCCCGACACGGGGCTCCAACTTACAGGCTGAGATATCACAACCTGAGCTGAAGTCTGACGTAACCAGCTGAGCCACCCAGGTGCCCCTTACCAGGTATTTTTTTAAACCCTTTTGATGGCAACCCAGAACAAGAAATACCTTTTGCACGGTAACCTGTTACACACGCGCGCACACACACACACGCAAATATATATGCTGAGATAATAGTATCATTCAACTACACTTACCCTTACTACATTCAGCTAATCTGTTATTTTCTATTCTTTTCTATTTTTCTTTTTTTTTTTTTTTTTTTTTCAGCGCAAGCCGCAATCCACCAAAGCTGACTTCACAGCCCATTAGCCGGCCCGGATACACAGTTTGAAATGCCTCATAATGAAGCGCCGGGAGCTCTGCTGTGATTTGTGGCCTGCAGCACACTGCCCAAAGAACTCCTTAAACCCAAGTGAGCTTTATAAACTGGAACCAAACTTTGTGGTTGGTGCTCTGCTTTGTAAACTGCAGAGTCCCGGTACCTCTGCAGCTCTCCGCAGCGACACCGGATCCCCCGCCCCCCCCCCCCCCCAGCCCCCACCCCCGGGGCCCACTCTGTGCCCAGCCCTGCCCTCTGCGCAGCACCCACCTTTCTTTTTCTCGGGGGCCTCTCGCTCAGCGGGCCGCCCGCCGCCCGACAGGCGGAAGGAGCCCTCGCGGGCGAAGCTGGTGCGGCTGGCATCGAAGGCGGCCGTCACCCCGCATTCCTTCTCCCGCCGCTGTTTCCGCTCCAGGCAGGCGGCAAAGGCACAGCCCACCGCGTGGCTCAGCCTCTCGCCCTGTGGGTGGAGATCCGCGCGGGCTTAGAGACGCTGTGCTGTGCAGGCCTGACGCCAGACGCCCTGGGTTCCCCGCGGCTGGGTGCCGGGTGATCCTGGACAAGCGCCCCCACCCCAGCCCGGGGCCTCAGTGCGCGTCTGCACCGGGACGGAAACAAATGACAGCTCTGAGGGAAAGAAGCCAGAAACAAGAGAGCAGTGCCGTACCGCTCCATTTACGCGAAGTTCGAGAACCGGCAAAACTCATCTACCGTGAAAAGAAAGTCAAAGAGTGGCCGTTCTTTGGGGGGTGGGGGTGGGAATTTTACTTCAAAAGAGAATGACCCGGGGTGGGGGCGCCTGGGTGGCTCAGACGGTTGAGCGTCCGACTCTTGGTTTCCACTTATGCCACAATCTCAGTTTCGCGAGTTCGAGCCCCATGTCGGGCTCTGTACTGGTGGTGTGGAGCTTGTTTGGGATTCTCTCTCTTTCCCTCTCTCTCTCTCTCTGCCCCTCCCCTGCTTGTGCTCTCTTTGTCTCCCCAAAATAAATAAATAAATAAATAAACTTTAAAAAAAAAAGTTAAATTCTTAAAAAATGAAAACAAAAACAGCCCATTTCTTGAGTACATATTTAAGAGGCTCCAAGGCCCCACTGATTCTGGCTTCCTACTTTCCAACTGCGTGTTCTCAAGAACACCACTCTACCTTTCAGTGCCTAAGCCTCCCTGTCTGTAAAATGTGGGCCCTAACAGCACCCACTTAACAGGGTTGTTGCAAGAATTACATGAGCTAATATATGCAAGGAGGCACATAGCACCGGAAGCCGGCACGAGAGCCTAGCACAGGGAAACACCACATAGGTGTCACTTTAAATCTGTCCACCCTTTGTTGGAATCTTCACAATCATGCCAGGAGATGGACATGCTTATGAGCCTGTTTTACAGATGAAGAAACTGAGCCTTAGTCAACACACCCGTTATAAGTGAGTGGCAGGGTTGGGATTCTCATGAGATCAACCTAGCTTCTGTTTCCTAACCAAGATGCTCGGCCACCTTTTATTTATTTGTTTATTTTTAAAAAAATTTTTAACGTTTATTTATTTTTGAGACAGAGAGAGACAGAGCATGAATGGGGGAGGGCCAGAGAGAGAGAGACACAGAATCCGAAACAGGCTCCAGGCTCTGAGCTGAGAGAGCTCACAGAGCCTGACGCGGGGCTCAAACTCACGGACCGCGAGATCATGACCTGAGCCGAAGTCGGCCGCCCAACCGACTGAGCCACCCAGGCGCCCCTCAGCCACCTTTTAAAGATAAACTTGGGAACAGAAGTTCTCAACAAAAGACTAGCATGCTGAACTCCTCAGCAGAGTAAAGAGGTTATGCACCAAGGTCAAGTGAGATTTATCCCAGGAATGCAAGGTTGATTCAACCTATGAAACCAGTGAATGCAATACACATTAACAGAAAGAGGGGAAAAAAGCCACATGATCATCTCCATTAATGGGGAAAAAGCATTTGACAAAATCTAACATCCTTTCATGATAAAACAAAGGTCAACAAACTTGGAATAGAAGGGCACTTCCTCAATCTGATAAAGGATTTTCATGAAAGACTCACAGCTAACACCATACTCAATGGTAAAAGAGTAAAAGCTTCTCCATAAGAATAGGAACAAGATGAGGATGCCCATTTTCATCACTTCTGTTTTCAATGCTGTACTGGAAGTTCCAGCCAGAGTAATTAGACAAGAAAAAGAAATAAAGGCATCCAAACTGGAAAGGGAGAAGCAACATCATCTCTATTTGCAGATGACATATCTTATATATAGAAAATCCTAAAGAATCCACAAAGGAACTATCAGTGGTAATAAATGAATTTGGCAAAGTTGCAGGATATAAGGTCAATACACAAAAATCAGTTATATCTATATACGCCCGCAGTGAACAACCCAGAAATGAAGCTACAACAATCCCATTTACAACAGCGTCTAAAACAGTAAGATGGTTAGGAATAAATTTAACCAAGGAAGTGAAAGACATGTGTGCTGAAAACTACCAAACATTAGTAAAAGAAATTAAAGAAGACCTAAATGAATGGAAATACATCCCATGTTCATGGATTTGGAAACTTAATATTGTTAACATAGCAGTATTTCCAAAGTGGTCTGTACATTCAATGCAATCCCATCAAAATCCCAACAGACTCTTGAAGAAATAAGAAAAGCTGCTCTTGCAGAAACAGCAAAGCTGATCCTAAAATTCATATGGGATTGCAAAGGACCCAGAATTGCAGCCAAAGGAATTTTGAAAAAGAACAAAATAAAAGAATTTACACTTTTTTTTGAAGAATTTTAGAAGTTTTTAAAAAAAAGTTTTTTTTAAGGTTTATTCATTTTTCAGAGACAGAGAGACAGAGCGTGAGCGGGGGAGGGGCAGAAAGAGAGGGAGACACAGAATCCATATATGTGCTGCCGAAGCGAGCACTTGGAGACACAGAATCCGAAACGGGCTCCAGGCTCTGAGCTGTCAGCACAGAGCCCAGTGCGGGGCCTGAACTCACGGACGGCGAGATCATGACCCGAGCTGAAGTTGATGCTTAACCGACTGAGCCACCCAGGTGCCCCAAGCATTCACACTTCCTGATTTAAAATAGTACTCCAAAGCTACAGTAATCAAAATAATGTGAAACCGCCATAAGGATAAACATACACATCAATGAAATAGAATTGAGAGCCCAGATATCGACCCACACATTTATGGTCAATTGATTTTCAGTGAGGGTACCAAAACTATTCAAAGGAGAAAGAATAGTCCTATTCAAATGGATATTCACGGGGAAAAAAAATTAAGTTGGACCCCCACCTCACACTGTTTACAAAAATTGACTCAAAATAGATCAAAGGCCTAAATGTAATAGCTAAAACTATAAAAGTCTTAGAACAAAACATGGAGTAAATCTTCATGACCTTAGATTTGGCAATGGATTCTTATGACACCAAACACACAAACAACAACAACAACAAAATAGATACGCTGAATTCATAAAAAGTAAAAACAATTTAGGGTGCCTGGATGGCTCAGTGTTAAGCATCTGACTTCGGTTCAGGTCATAATATCACAGTGCATGAGTTTGAGCCCCAATTTGGATGAACCCTGCTTCTCTCTCTCTCTCCCACCTTCCCCTGCCCCTCCTAGGATTCTCTCTCTCTCTCTCTCTCTCTCTCTCTCTGCCCCTAGCTCACTTGCACCCTCTCTCTCTCTCTCTCAAAAAAAAAAATAAAAACAATTTGTACATTAAAGGACACTACCAAGAAAGTAAAAAGACAACCCACAGAATGGAGGAAAATTTTTGCATATCATAGAACTGATAAGAATCTACTATCCAGAATATATAAATTTCTTACAACGCAACAATAAAAAGACAAACAGTTGAAAAAAATGGATAAAGGGGGCGCCTGGGTGGCTCAGTCGGTTAAGCCTCCGACTTCGGCTCAGGTCATGATCTCGCGGTCCGTGAGTTTGAGCCCCGCGTCGGGCTCTGTGCTGACAGCTCAGAGCCTGGAGCCTGTTTCGGATTCTGTGTCTCCCTCTCTCTGCCCCTCCCCTGTTCATGCTCTTTCTCTCTCTGTCTCAAAAATAAACGTTAAAAAAATAAAAAACAAACAAACAAACAAACAAACAAAATGGATAAAGGATTAGAATAGACATTTCTCCAAAGAAGAGAAACAAGTGGCCAATAAACACATAAAAAGAGTCTCAACATCATTAGTCAGCAGGGAAATGCAAATCGAAACCACAATGAGATACCGCTTCACACCTACTTAGGGTGGCTGTAATTAAAAAAAAAAAAAAGAAAAATAATAAGTGTTGGCTAGGATGTGGAGAAATTGGAACCCTTGCACATTGCTTGGTGCGGATGTAAAATGGTGCGGAAAACAATTTGGCAATTCCTCAAAAAGTTAGACGTAGCTCTACTATATGATCTAGCAATCTAGCTTCTAAGTACAGACCCCCCCAAAATTAAAAACAGCTATTCAAACAAATGCTTGCACAGCAATGTCCACAGTAGCATTATTCACGCTATCTAAAAGGTAGAAGCAACCTAAACATCCATCAATGGATGAACAGAGAAAACAACTTGTAATAGAGCCATGCAATGGAATACTATTCAGCCACGAAAAAGGAAGTACTGACACACGCTACAACACAGATGAAGCCTGAAAACATTCTGCTAAGTGAAAGAAGCCAGTCACAAAAGACCACAGTTCATTCAATTTGCATGAACTATCTAGAAGAGGTAACTCCATAGAGACAGAAAGCAGACTAGCGGCTACCAGGCTTGGGGAGGTGGGTGTGGGGAACAGAGAGTGACTGCTTAATGGGTATAAGGTCCCTTTTAGGAGTGATGGTAAGGGTGCCTGGGAGGCTTGGTTGGCTAAGGGTCCAACTCTTGATGTCAGCTCAGGTCATGACCTCATGGTTTGTGGGTTCGAGCCCCACATTGGGCTCCATGCTGACAGCGCAAAGCCTGCTTGGGGTTCTCTCTCTCCCTCTCTCTCTCTGCCCCTCTCCAGCTTGTTCTCTCTCTCAAAGTAAGTAAATAAACATTAAAAAAAAAAGGAGTGATAAGGGGCGCCTGGGTGGCTCAGTCGGTTAAGCATCTGACTTCAGCTTAGGTCATGATCTCACAGTCTGTGAGTTCGAGCCCCGCGTCGGGCTCTGTGCTGACAGCTCAGAGCCTGGAGCCTGTTTCGGATTCTGTGTCTCGCTCTCTCTCTGCCCCTCCCCTACTCATGCTCTGTCTCTCTCTGCCTCAAAAATAAATAAAAACATTAAAAAAAAAAAAAAGGAGTGATGAGGGGCGCCTGGGTGGCTCAGTTGGTTAGGCATCCAACTCTTGATTTTGGCTCAGTCATGATCTCGTGGATCAGGCTCTGTGCTGACAGCATGGAGCCTGCTTTGGATTCTATCTCCTTTTCTCTCTGCCCCTCCCTGCTTTCTCTTGCAAAAATAAATAAATAAATAAATAAATAAATAAATAAATAAATAAAAATAAATATTAAAAAAAAAGAGTGATGAGAACACTGGAAACTAGAGATGATTAGTGAAGAGCATTGCATGTATACTAATGCCATTGAACTGTATGCTTTAATTTTTTTTTAATGCTTATTTATTTTTGAGACAGAGAGAGACGGAGCATGAACGGGGGAGGGGCAGAGAGAGAGAGAGACACAGAATCGGAAACAGGCTCCAGGCTCTGAGCCATTAGCCCAGAGCCCGACGCGGGGCTCGAACCCACGGACCCCGAGATCGTGACCTGAGCTGAAGTCGGACGCTTAACCGACTGAGCCACCCAGGTGCCCTGAACTGTATGCTTTAAAATAAAGAATTAAAAAAAATTTTTTTTAAATGTTTATTTATTTTTGAGAGAGAGAGAGACAGAGCATGAGCAGGGGAGGGGCAGAGAGAGGGGGAGACACAGAATCCGAAGCAGGCTCCAGGCTCTGAGCTGTCACCACAGGGTCTGATGCAGGGCTCAAACCCACAAACCGTGAGATCATGACCTGAGCCGAAGTCGGGTGCTTAACCGACTGAGCCACCCAGGCGCCCCTAAAATGATGAATTTTATGTGAACTGCACCTCAAAAAATAAAGCATCTCTTTGAGGAATCCTGGGAGTCCTATTGTTTAATGCTTAAAATCTGAGGCTCACAAGTGGAAAGCAATTGTAGACAAGGTCACACTCTTTTCTTGCTTGGATTCTCACCCTCAAGTACTTGTCTTTTCTTTTTTTTAAGTTTATTTATTTTGAGAGAGAGAGAGAGAGAGAGAGGGAATGAGAGTGAGTGCACAAGCAGGGGAGGGGCAGAGAGAAGAGAGAGAGAATCCCAAGCAGGCTCTGCACCGTCAGCACTGAGCCTGACACGAGGCTGGAACTCACAAACTGTGAGATCACGGCCTGAGCCGAAACACCTCACTGACTGACCCGCCCCAGGTGCCCCAAGTACTTGTCACATGAAAGCAACCGCTCCTAGTTACTGAACATTTCTTATGGGACCCTATTTAACACTTTCTGTGTGTGACCATAATATACAGGCTTCACCAACACACCTGTCAGCAGCCACTGCTATCATCTCCGTTTTATGGAGGGGGAAACTGAGTCCCAGAGAGGGAAGCCACTTGTGCCTGACGTCCCATAGCTAGGTGGGGTGACACTGAATCCAAACTAACCACATGGCAGTGTGTTTTCCAAAAATAGCCACAACAAGTTTCTGGCAACCACACGCTCTTCCAGAATTATGTCATTCCCCTATCAGAGGTGGAGTCTGTGTTCTCTCCCCTTAGCCTGGGAAGGCCTCTGTGACTGCCTGGACAAACAGAATATCACAGAAGCAATGCTGTGTGGTCTCCAGGACTAAGTCCACACAGGCGACAGCACTTCCTCCTGGCGCGAGCTTGGGCTCTTGCTCTCTCTCTCCTTTAACTCACTTGGGAGCCCTGAGCCACCGTGTAAGAAGTCAGCCCTCCCGAAGCCTCCAGGCTTGGAGAGACCTTCTGGAGAGGTCCTGAGACTACATGAAGAGTGGGAGATGTCCGGCCAGTCTCCTGGTGTTACAGCTCCAGACTGCAACAGCCATGACCGACTCTGGACCCACCCAGCTGAGCCTTGTCCGAATTCCTGACCTACAAAACCCCCGAGAGATAATAAATGATTGCCGCTAAACATTGGGGCAATTTGTTACGCAGCCACAGATAACTGCTACAACTGGTACACTACGCCCCAGAAACAGCAGTGGCTATGGGCTCTGGGCTTCTCGTATCTCCATGCTAGCCCCCCAGCCAGCCATAATCAGTACTGACTAATCAATCCTGACATGCTCAAAGTTATCTTTCTCCCCCAGTTCTGAGATCTGGAGTTGTGCGTACGAGTGAGGAAGTTGGGGGTACTAACTAGTTTTGGGGGTTCAGAGCTCCTGGAGTGGGGATTTCTGAAATACGAAGGAATCCTTGTGGGGAATACTGTTAGAATCTGAGAGGGATGCATGTTGTTTTACTTGCCCGGTATCCATTCCTCTTGCTTTTGATAACAGCACCCTGGATTCCCTTTGGGGAGCTCCCCCTCAACACTGGGTATGTCAGGCTGTGTGCTCCAGCCTCCCCTGACCAAGGGGTGGGCAGTGACCCATGCCAGGCCAATCCCATGCCCTCTTGCTGGAATTTTAACCCACGACACTGGGAGGCTGGATTCATTTCTGCAGCAGTGCAGTGAAAGGAACTGTCCCCTGACGTTCTGTCTCCAGGCTGCCCAGCTCCCTGACCTTTCTGATGCTTAATGCTCTGATTGTCCTTCGATTCTGTGAGATGCCTCCTATCACACTATTCTGGATTTACGTTAGCCAGATTAGTTTCTGTTGCCAGCCACTGGAGACTGGCTAATGTACGCAGCTGAGACTGCCTTCCTACCAAGTTGGGTGGGGTCTGAGGTCAGGGTCCGGGGAATAGGACAGAATAAAGACTATATTTTCCACCATTTTTTTTTTTTTTTTTTGCAGCCAGGGATGTCCAACGGGATGTAATTGTTCTGTGACTCCCCAAAAGGAGAGGGCGTGCCCCTCTTCATGCCTCCCTCCCTCATGTGGCTGGAATGAAGATGTGAAGGCTGGAGCATGTGCACCCATTTTGGATCATGGAGGGGAGGCCACAGCCCTTGATGAGCGGAGAGAAGCACACCAATCCTGCACTGCCTGCCTCTGGGTGTCTTTCACATGAAACAGGAACAAACTTCTATCTCACTGAAATGACTGACAGCTGGGGGTTTTCTGTCAGAGCCTCAGAATCCTAACTGTGAGACTGTATCACAGAAGACAGTCCATTTGTGGCTTTCATCAGATTCTCAGAGGGGGCCTTCACCCCCTCAAATGTAAAGAACTGCAAACACAATGAATCAAGGCTGAAAGAAGCAGGAGGACCTGGGGGGGGGGTATCTTTGAGAAGGGCCGGAAGGAGCCTCCTGGGGGCAGGAAACGCTCTACAACTTGACCTGGGTGGGGTTTTTACGTAAGCAAGAATTTCACGGAGCTGTGCCGGGACCACCTGTGCATGTTACTATATGCATATGACCCTCGTAAAAAAGAAAAGTAAGAGAAACATGAAGAACCACTGATAATGAGGCGGACGATAACTAATGTTTCCCCGAGCGCTTCTGATGTCCGGCCATCATTCCAAATACTTGGTATTAACCCACGCAAGCTTCCCCATAATCCTCTAAGTTAGGAGCTGTGAGGACACAGGGCATGGAGAGGAGAGGGGAGGGGAGGGGATAGGAGGGGAGGGGAGAGTGACTGGCCTGACTCCAGGGAGACAAGACTCAGCCTGGCTTCCTCCCAGTGATCCTTCCTCCGGTGATACTCACAGAGTCCTTGAGTGCCAGGAAACAGTGGCAGATCCATCGGCGGGTGGTACCGTCACGGCAGATGTAGGAGAAAGCCTTGTCCAGGTTGCGGTCAGGGGCACAAAAGGAGACCTTTTCGATGGTCTGGTCTACTAGCAGGTCCTGGAAGGTGGCCAGGGAAACCAGGAGAGGAACTTGAACTATCTTTCACGTACTCATTCAGCACTCCCCTTAGCGACTGCTCTCTGTCCTGTTCCGCACGGGGTGGGGACCCTGCACCCATTGAAACAGCAGTGGGCCCTGCTCGCATGCACGGGGCTCCCGGCTTAGTGTTGGAATCAGGCCCATCACCAGACAGAGGCACAGGCGAGGGGCCAGGGCCGGGGTGGGGGAGGTGCAGGGACCTGTGGTGGTCAGGAGCGGGTGCCTGACACAGCTTGGTGAGGAACCAGGCAAAGCTTCCTGGAGGAAGTATTTTTTTTTAATGTTTTATTTATTTTTGAGAGAGAGAGAGAGAGACAGACAGACAAACAGAGCACAAGTGGGAGAGGGACAAAGAGAGAGGGAGACACAGAATCCAAATCAGGCTCCAGGCTCTGAGCTGTCAGGACACAGCCCAACGCAGGGCTCGAACCCACGAACTGCGAGATCATGACCTGAGCCGAAGTCGGACACTTAACCAACTGAGCCGCCCAGGCGCCTCTGGAGGAAGTATTAACCAGGCAAAAAGGCAGGGAACAGTCTTTCAGGGTAAAGGAACTGCGTGTGCAAAGGTGTCCATCCCGTTCAATTGGTAACCTGACTCTTGCCCTGTGCTGCCGCCTCCTTGGGCAGTCTCTGTGCAGGGAAGTCGATGGTGAGCAAACAGATGCTCAGGTCCGGGCCCCGGGATGCTCCCGTCTGGCTGGGAACACGGACAATAAACACGGAACAGCTAACATCCACTGATCTGAGCACATATGCTGCCCCAGGGACAGTTACACGGCGCGCATACACCTTCTCATGTAAGGGTAGGGGCCATGTTTATCCACATTTTACAGATGAGGCAACTGAAGCACGGAGGGGTTGAACCTCACACTCTGGGTCACCCCGCAGATACGTAGGTGAGCAGGGATGCGAGCGAGGGCGGCTGCTCCACACCCACTACCTGCGCCAGCTCACAGGTAACGGTAGGACTCGGTCCTGAATTACGACCATGAGGAGTGCCAAGATGCTGCAGGAGCACATGGCCTAGAAGGTCCGGGAGGGAGGGACATCATGGGGGCGGGTGGGAAGGTGTGCTGAGCCCCGGTTCAAGCAGGGTGAGGAGAGGGGGCCCACTGGGGCCCACTCCCACCCCCCACGAGCCTCCTACCTTGGTCTTGTCATCCACCACTCGGAGCCCATCGGCTGACACCCAAAGGACGGACTTCACGGACTTCCGGCCCATCTGGGGGTGGGGGGAGGAGGAGAGAGGGCCTGGTCAGGGCTGCCTCTTCCGGTGCGGCCCTGCCCCCTCCCGGCCCAGCCCTCACTCACCGCCTTCAGCTTCTTCACAGCGTCTTCACACACGTGCATCCCCCGGGACTCCTCCACCTCCACGTGGCCCAGGTACTTGGTGGGGAGGAGACGGGAGGACAGGAAAGCAGCACAGTAATCAATACCGCCTAGTGTTTCCCGAGCAGCTGCCACGTGTCACCCAATGTCCCCCAGCCCATCACACATATTAACTCACTCACGGTGCCGCCACTCTGCGAGGTGGGTCCTCTGTTCCCATCCCAGATACACAGATGAGTGAGGACACTGAGGCTAGCGAGGAGTTCTCACTCCCATCTTGCCTCTATTCCTGGCCCTAACATGTTACTTCCTGTCCTCCTAGGGGCCAGAGTCTGCGTCTCCGGGCCTCAGCACCGGCCTGCCAACGACCCATGGGAGCTGGGGTGCGCTCACCCCAGCCTCCTTACCCCGTTGGGGGGATGGCTCTATTTCCCAGCATTTTCCCGATGACATCAAGCTCGAGTGCCCACAGCTGCAGGTTAGTGACACAACCTTTATTGGCTTTCTTTCCTTCCCAGCGTTTCTCACACTTCCAAATGGACCCCCCCCCCGCCCCCTCCACTCCCACCCACTCCATGCCTGCTTCCAGGGGAAGGGAAAAGAAAACGGAGGGTTTACGACAATCGGCTGTCGTCACCCAGCCAGGCAAGGGACTAAGTTGGGAGTTGAACCTGAATCCTGCTGTCTCCCTCACGGAAGCGCAGTGTGCATTTTGAAGAGTCGTGATGGTCTAAACCAAAAAGCACTTCATAGTAAAGGGCTGTGCAAATACCACAGGCTTTTGTGGCCTTCCGGGGCCTTTTGGAAATTGTGAGCTCCCAGAGGATGGGGTGACTCAAGGAAGAATGTCCCCTGGCTCCCCAGGTAATACCTTCCTGGTACAAGAGAACGTGTGCTGGGTTTTAATCCCAACTTTGAAGGGCCCAGGCTGTGGGGTTCTTTGGGGATGCGTCGTCTCTCGCATTTGGGTCAGGGCCTCAGCCACATCGCCCAGCACCCCGGGGCCCCGGGACGGCATGCACACAGCCCCTGCCCGCGCCCCGCCCACTCACCCTGACTGGGAAGCTGCAAGTGCCCTTGCGCACCGCATCCTCGTCCGCCTGCCACTGGTGGGGGCGCGACGCCTCCGGCACGTAGGCTGGTTTCCGCCGCCGCAGGCTCTGCCGTAACTTGTTCATGGTGCCCGCCCCTTCTGGTGACACAGGACAGGGGCGCGGGTCAAGGGCAGGGAGGGTCAGATAACACGGGATCTGGGTTACAGGGTCAGGGGGTCCCTGGGTCAGAGGGCGTGGCACTCAGGGAACATGCAGCGGCAGCGGTCAGGGGCCACTGGAAAACGGGGCAAGGGAAGGCAGGGGCGTGCCAGAGTCAGCGGTGGGGATTCAGAAGAAAAACACAGGGCAAAGGTGCATGGAGGTCTGGGATGGGGGTCAGGAGTCCGCTTTGAGCCGTCTGGAGATTGAGGACGTGGCAGTCCAGAGGCATGAGGATCCAAAGTAATGGGGAGTCGAGACATTGGAGGGCATGGGGGTTAGAAGGCATAGGGCTCAGGGGTCACAAGGCCAGGATTTTAGGGGTAGGAGGCCAGGGGCTGAGACAGTCAGAGGGCACAAGAGCTGGTGTTGCACGGGTCCGATGTGGGGGATGTGGGAGGCCTGGGTTCGATGTGGGGGGGACACAGAAGGTCCAGGGACTGAGGTCCAGAACCCAAGGGTGTGGAGGCTGGGGGCTCATCTCTGGGCCTCTGAGAGGCACTCCTCTGACAACTGTGTCTGGTCTAAGGCAGGAGCCCCTGGGGCGGTGTGCACCTGTAACCATCAGGGGAAGGGCCAGTAGTGGAGGTGGCCACAACGGAGGTGGGGACAGTCTGTGCTAAGACAGTCTCTCTGACTGATAAGCCATACGGACTGTCTCAGGAGGAACCCGAGAGGACAAGGAGGATAGAACACTGCCAGCAGGTGGGGTCTCTGTGTGTGTGTATGTGCATAACTGGTGGATTCCTGAACGTTGTCTGGATCTAAGCATGCAGAGATCATCTGTGAGCGTGTATTTCTGAAGGCTGAACATACAGAAGGACACTGGTCTGACAGTGGCTGTCTGCGAAAGCGTGTGTCCGGAAATGCTATCTGTGAGGGGGGGGGGTCTGGGTCCAAGGGTGTGGTTGTTTCTGGAAGAGTAGGTCCCTGAAGGTTGTTGCCGAAGGGGACCTAAGTGCGAGAGTGGTTGTCCGTGTGTGTCTGGGAGCCGTGCCTGTGAGGATGTGTGCAAGCATGAAGCCATTGTCTTTCAAAGGCGTGGCCATGACCGTCCTCTTCCAAGCCGTGTGTCTGCCTGAGGGCGTGGCTGTGGTCTTCGATGGCGGTCACCTGTGGCAGTGTGCAGCTGTGAGGCTTGTCCAAGAGACCCTGCCCCTGGCCGAGAGTGCAGCGGTTGAGAACGTGGGGCTGTTGTCTGTGAGAGTGTGTTCACGAGTGGTATTTGTGAGGGAGTGACTGATGGTCACTGAGTGTGCAGGGAAGACATTCGAGGGTGTCCCCTCATGAGTGTGATTGCGCCTCCGCAGCCTTTGCGGTGGGAGCAAAGGGACAGTTCCTCTGGTTGTGCCAGGCTGACCCACCTCTTGCTCAGCCTTGCCCTGGCCCCAGCTGGTCACTCACCTGGCTCCGTCCTGGAGGTTTCGGGGGGCCCCAGGGCCCCACAGGGGGCTGGGGGCAAACGCTGCTCAGGCCTCTTGGGTCCGCCCTGCCCAAGGAAGGGAGGAGAAGGTGAGACACTGGCTTGGGTTGGGGCTCGGTCCCCTACCTCCCCACTTCTTTGGACAACAGCCAACCCCCCCCCCCTTCCATCTCAGGCTCCCTGATGAGTGCCCTGGTTGTCATAGCAACCGTTACTCAGGAGATCAGCCACCTGGTAGCAAGGGCCTAGGAATGAGTAGGTGTGTTTCTGGGGGCACGTGTTGGGGATGTCCTGGTCTCAGGAGGCAAGGGGACGGTGTGAGGAGGGAGTGGCCTTGACCTCTAGACGCCTGTCCAGGCTACACATAAACATGCGGTCACATGCATGCATGCAACTCATGTCTACAGTCGCCCCAGGCACCTGGTCACAGCTCTCCACGTGTGGTCATACACAGGCACGACCACAGCCACACACACCGCATCACACAGATGCACATAAACAGTCGCAGCCACAATAACCATCTGGTCACAGATCCACGTTCACAGACACGGACGTTGTCCACGCGCATCTCCAGCCCCAGCCTGCCGAGGCACTGCCACAAACATCTGGGCCCATCAGCTACCAAATATGTGGTCACTTCTGTCTTCTCAGCCACATACAAAGAGCTGGGCCCAGGCAGAGGAGCGCACTCCCCACGACAGTCATGACTCCTCAGGCCCTCGCCCAAGACACTCATGTTGCAGACCCACGCACACAGAATCACGGCAGTCAGAGGGCACCCATTCGCCCCAAGTCACACACAGGCACAAGTGCTGTCACACCTGACACACGTTTGGCCACGCACAGCCACATCCAGTCACAGCCACGTGGGTTTAATCATCTACAGGCCCACAGCGGCACACGGGTACCCAGCCCCTCTGGTATCGGTCACACCAACGCACCGTTTTGGTCACGTGCTGTCACAGTCACACACACCCTGTCAGGGGGGCACACATGCGGTCACGGTATGAGCCACACTTACACAGATGGTCTTCCACATCCAATCACACACAGAGACACCGACGGCCATGGCCTACGCCTTCTAGAGACGCAGGCACGCACACTCAAGACACGCAGGTAACCAGAGACAACTGTCCCTAAGGATGGCCACACTCAGGGACGGCCAGACAATTGCCGGTTCAGAGTCACAGCCATACACATTTCAGAAATGGCCACATGGGCAAAGTCACACGGCATCAGTGTCCACATTACCCAGCCACGTACCCTGGTCTCGATACAGTCACCCCACGTCCCACCGTGTCACCCCATCACAGAGAAACGCACAGTCTCTCTTCAAGCGAACACACAAGTCACAGGGATAAGCATGTGGTTGCATACAATCAGAGCCCCGTGTGGACAGACACACATCTCACACATAGAGACATCAGCACACAATTTCTACTTCACACATCACGAGCACACAGTGATGAAGAAAGAGAACTCAGAAATGCAGTGACCCAGGCACAGCATTTATAGCTGAGTTGACACAGAAGACATGGTCCCTGAGAGAGCCATGTCCACAGTCAGGACAGTCACCCAGTCACCAAATCACGCAGACTGAAACCCAGGCAGTCCAGTATGCACATGGGGACACACACACACACACACACACACACACACACACACCTATAAATGCACAGAGTCACTTAGCATCAACACACAGAGCTAGATGGAGTCATTTATACAACCCTTGTTACACAGATGTGCCATGAGCACACATGTGTAAAGTCACAGTGCCATTACACAACCACATACAACGTGACTTCATGTACAATGGCAGACACACACCCAGAATTGCAGGGAGACTTGTGTGTCACACAGACATATGCGTGACCCACATATACAATCAGTTACGGACACAACTACAAACACTCACAAGTCAGTGGGAGAGTGGCACATGGACATAGAGTCATAGACACAACTCCATGTACACAGTCCCAACTCCACCCACAGCTTGTCAGCCACACAAAACTAGCCCAACCCCACGCCCAACACACACACTGTCACAACACAGTTATAGCTACCAAAGCACACACCCAGGGTCACAAAAGATGTAATCACAGACACAACCACGCAGTCACAACCATGCACACACAAACACACACTAAAAAGTGACAGGGTTCTGCACAAGGAGCAGCTGTCAAACACACATAGTCGCACAAATGCTGGGGTCACAAACAGACACAAACGTGCACACTATGAGACACAACCACAAGCACAACACGCACACACATACAGGATTCCTCAGTCACCAGCTCCAGCACACGCGCGCGCGCACACACGCGCGCGCGCACACACACACACACACACACACACACCACAGTAACACAAACACCGGGTCACACTCTTAGCCACCTCCCGTCGCTTGCTTCCCCCCTTCCCCCCAGGTACCACACACAAAGCCACCCGTCACCCGTCACCGTCACCACCCGTCACCGTCACCGCAGACGCTGCAGACAGACAGGGCTGTGCTGGGTCCCTGGGGAGCCGCCCCCCACCCCCAGCCTGAATCCTGAAGCCTGGGGGCCCATACCCGGGAGGGGGAGGCGGCGCATTGTCTGCGGGTGGGGCCACTCCCAGGCAGCTGGGCAGCCCCAGGGACCCTTGACCAAGCCTTTGGGGGTTGCCTAAAATTTCCCTATTTTATTCAGGCTAGGTGGGGGGTGGAGTCCCAGACCCAGGGACCTTGTTTTGAGAAGGGTCTATTCCTGGGACGCCGCCCAAGGATTGGGGGGGGGATGCTGTGCCCAGGGTGTCTCTGAGGCCTGGGTACAGACTGTGCCTGGGATGCCCCCTAGGCCTTGGCTTGGTGGGGAAGCCATTCCCAGGGACCCCAGCCTCAAGACCTTGCCTAGAGGGTTGTTGTGCTCAGAGACCACCTCAGGGAGGGAGGGGTAGGGATTGCGTCTGGTCTGGAATGGCCTCCTGGAGGCCTTGGCTTGATGTGGGGGTTGTGTCCTGGACCCCATCCCCAAAACCTTGCCCAGGGAGTTGTACCTAGAATCTGTCCCCCTGTCCTTGGTTTTTTTTGAGGGGCAGGTCTACGTCCAAGATCCCTATCTTCAGGGCCTTGGCAAGAGAGGGCCTGTGCCCCAGACCCCCTGTCTCTCAAGCTTTGGCTTGGTGGGGGCCTGTTCTGGACCCCCCCACCCAGGCCCACCCTCCCCAGTCTTGGCACCCTCTTTCCATCCGGGCGCCGCGGCCGCCTCCCACCCTCCGCCACATCAGCAGCGGCGCCGCCCCCCACCCGAGTCCCCCCTCTCCCGCCCTTCTCACGCTGGCCGCCGCGCTGCGGGACATCCAGGGCCCGGGCGCCCCCGCCTCCCGCGGCCCCGGCTGGGCCCGGATCCCCGAGTGCTGCTGCTGCGGTGGCGGTGGCGGTGCGGGGGGTGGGGCGGTCTGACGCGGGCCGGGGCCGGGGGCCGGGGGATGGTGCGGGATGCACGCGCGCGAGCCTGCTCCGCTCCCCGGAGGATTCCGTTCCGGGGGCGGGGGAGCGCCCCTCCTGCCTCGGCTCCCCGCCCCAGCCCCGCCCATTGGCCCGCCGCCTGCGGGATATGCAAAAAAAACCCCGCCCCGGCCCGGCGCCTGGCCGGCTCAAGCCCCACCCCCTGGCCGGCAGACCACGCCCATACGCAGATATGACCCCGCCTACTCCAGCGCGGCCACCGCCCCGCCACGCCCATTGGCCAGTCCCCGGTTGAGGCAGCGTGTGAGCCTCGCAGAGACCTTCCCCCCAGGCCCATCCTGGCGTGGGCTCCCTTCCCCTCTGTGACCCTTGACCTCCGGTCCCCTTCTGTTCCACGTCCGCAAAAGAGTTGCTTCGGGAAGCTCTTTGCCGCCCCACATACCCAAATCTTCCAGCTAACCCCACGGTTCTTCCAGCCTAGCGGGGGCGGGCAGGAGCGGTGACGAGGCACTTTTTGCAAGGAAGGGGAGGGGGAATGAACAGACCCCAGCATCCTGGTGCGGGAGCCCTTCGGCTTTGGGGGGCGGGGGCGCGAGGCTGGGACCTGGGCGCGGTTTTGGCCGCCACTGCACCCCAGCTCCCACTCAATCCTGTGGGTTTGGCAAAGCAGCTGGCAGGGGCATTACGGCCCATTAGCAAAGGCGAGGTTGCTGGGAGCCGAGGGGAGGGAGCGAGGGGCCTGGGAGGTGGCCGGGGCGGGGGGGGGGGGGGGGGGGGGGGGCGGCCGCGCCGGCCAGGCCTTTTGCTTGCCGGGGGCCGCCGCGTGCGGGAGGGGGGGGGGGCGGGCAAGTGGGAGGGAATGGGTAGAAGGAGGTTCCCGGCAACAGATGGCCCAGGCAGGGCTGGGGCTTTCAGACCAGAGGATGGGAGGGGGTTGGCCATCTGCACCTGGAGGCTGGCTGAGAGCTCCTCCCCACCCCCACCGCCACCCAGCGCAGAGAAAAGAGCCGGGAAGGGGAGAGCCACTTTTATTCTGACTGAAGTTTCAAACACCCTCCCTTACCCCCTCCCCAACACACAAAAAGGATGGAGCCCGGGAGAACGCAGCTGGTGGAGGGGTGAGGGCAGCAAAGGTGAGGGCTGCCTCCACCAGCCACCGCTCCTCCCCTTTCACTGGCCAGATCCGTGAGAGACCTGACCCAGAGGTGTGGGGCTCCCCATCTAGATGAGTCTGGATCTGCATGACTGGGTGCAGAGGGCCTAAGGCTCTTAAACGTTGGCAAAAATAAATTAATCCCTGGCGTAGAGTTCCTGGGTGCCCACACGGGAGTGGGAAGATCAGGATATGGGGGTGTGAAGTTGGGAGTTCCCTAGCTGGAGGTTTCCCCAGCCCCGAGGAAGGGAGCTAGGCAAGAACCGGGAAATCAGACCCGGTCGTCCCCAGGCCTGCAGGGGAATGGAAGGGAGGCATCACAGCAGTGGATGGCCTGCTTTGGGGCCAGAATCACAGGATGGAGGCCATCTAACGGGTCTGACCCCAAGTCCCTTCTGGTCAGGAGGCTGCAGGCAGAGGCTAGGCCTGGCGACTGGCCCAATAGCGGTGGTAGGTGTCCTGGAAGAGGTCCCGGCAGGCGATGTGGGCGCGGAGGCGGGCGCAGGCCAGGAAGGCCCCTGCCAGCTTGCGGTGCAGGGCATAGGTCTCCTCCGGCGGTGGGCGCAGCCGGTGCTGCAGCAGCACAGGGATGAGACCCTGCACTCGGCGGGCAGTGTCACCTGCCCCAAAGTCGTAGGGGCCCTGGGTGGCGAAGGGCTCCCCCAGGATCATCACTGCCTCCACGTGGGCATCCGAGAATGCCTATGGGCGGGGAGAGCAAGAGACCCGCAGTGTGGCATACAGCCCCCCGCTTAACCCATCTCCCTCACAGTCTCAAGTATAAACACAAGCCCCCTACTCCCTGAGGAGTGTTAAGTATCTGCCACTCCTTCCAGAACCTCTAGGCCTCCCCCAAATGGCTCTCTACTTCCTCTCAGAGCCTCCAATAGAAAAGAAGCCCTCAGTCCCTAGAACAGAGAAAGAGCCTCCATTTCCCCACCCCCAGTACCCACTAGCAGTCCCCCACTCCCTCCTTCTAGAATAGATAAATGGGGCCCATTTCCCCAGGGTTTCTGTGTAGCCAAGTAGCCCTCATTCCCCCACTCCTCCCCAGAGCCCCCCAGTATAGATAAGCAGCTCCCTACCCACCCCCGCCCCCCAAGTGTTTCCCAACCTTGGTTTCAAAGCCTGTGAGGAATTTGAGGTCCCGGGATTTCTGCAGGACCCGGTCTCTGTCTCCATTGGCTGCTGCCATCACCACCTGGGAAATGGGTGTTCATCAGAAAGTCAAAGGCCAAGGGAGTGGAGTTCAAGGAGGGCTCTTGAAAACTGGAGATGAACCAGCTAGAAGCCTGGCCCTCCCTGTACCCACCTGCATTCCAGTCTACTTAAGCCCTCTCCCCTAGAAGCTGCTCCCTCCTCACCTTGCCCCTATCTATATCTCCCTCAAGACTGTTCCAGAACCTGGGGGTGGGGGTGGTCAGGGGTTCTACCCACCTGGCCTGGAACACAGTGCCTGCCTGGAAATTACCACAGTGAAACAGCCAGAGGGAAGTAAATGTCAAGTGCTATTTGTGGGTCCACACACTCAACTGGACAAGGATGTGACCATGACCCACACCTGCATGTGAGGTTGCCATGGGGCCATCTCTGTCATTGCCTGGTTGTCTGTCTCCTACAGGGGCTTGGAGCCCCCAAGAGAACAGGGATCCCGGTTGTGCTTAGTCCCATGTGGCACAAGGTCTGGCATTCAGGAGGTCCGTGGCGAACCTTTGTTTGACAAATTAGTGTGCGGAGCTAGGCACCTTGCCAGACGTGAGTGCACGTGGGGAGAGCAGGCGTTGAGGGCGCGGACAGACAGAATCCAGAGCCAGCCTGCTTGGGCTCCATCCCAGCTACTTGCTGGCTGAGAGACTCTGGGCAAGTCGCTTTGCTCTGGGGCCTCCACTTTCTCATCTGTGAAGTGGGGATGATGAAAGTGTCTTCCTCATGGGTGGCTGCAGGGACAAAGGAGGTGGGATCTGTGGGGTGCTTAGCACTGAGCCTGCCTGTAGAAAGAGCCATAACCATGATGAGCTACCATTATTAAGAGGTGCATGTGAAGGTCCCTACTTCACAGAAAAGGACAAAGGCTGACTGGGGGAATGGCAAGGCGAGGAGTGGAAATCTGAACCACTTTCTCGGGAGGAAGGGGAATACGGAATTAAATGTGGCAGTTCTAGTCTAGTCTGTCTCAGTACCCCCTGCCCGAGCCTGTCTGGCCATCTGTCAGGCCTGTGGTCCTCAGGGACTGGTGTGACAGGGCTTTTTTAAACTGGAAAAGGCTGGAGAGACTGGAGGAGAGCCTTGCCAATAGCCCTGGGGGAGAACGGGGGGACACACAAGATGTCCCAACTACACAGAGAGAGGCCTCAGCTTTGTGCCTCCAGTGGCCTTGAGAGAGGGCCCAAGGGGCCTGTCTGTATGTGGGGGGGAGGGGGGGAGGGGATTACCAGCCCCTCCTTCCTGTCCTTATGTCACCAGTGGCCCCATCATCCTCTAGTCCCCAAGCCAAAGCCCTGGGTCTTGTCCTTTCTTCCCTGTCCCGGGCTCCCAGCCCCCAGTCTCCCAGGCTACCTGCTATTCTGAGGGGGTTTTCTAATTCTCTGTGCTTCCCTGCTCAAATCCCTTCCATGGGTCCCCATGGTACCTGGATTAAAGTTCAAGCTGCAAAGCATGGCTTTTCAGACCCAGAGTGATTGGGCCTCAGAGCTGGCTCCTACTCTGTCCTAACCTGCTGGCCCAGTCAGAAATGAACTTCCTTTTGGTCCTCTAGGACTTCCTTTTGAAAGTGTGGTCCTGTACCAGTAAGCTTTGACATCACCTGGGAGTGTGTTAGAAATGCAGCATCTTATGTCTGACTCCAGACCACAATTTGCATTTAATAGGATCATGCTGGTCATGGGGGCTGTGGGGTTCTCATATACACTAAAGTTTGAGAAGCGCTGCTCTAATGGGAATATCCCTTCTCTCCTCTTGGCCTTTTTATGTTATCAGTCTGGAATACCCTCTTTGCCTCTTCCTGACTGGTCTCCTCATCCTTCAGGTTTCTTCTCTGAGGCCTCCTCCTCCAGGAAGCTCTCCCTGACCCCCTAGGCTGGCCCAGCCTCCCCCTCTGGGGTCCTACAGTCTCCTGTGCTTCCCCATTCCAGCCCTGACCACTCTGGGTCCTTACTGTCTGTTCCCCTCCTGGTCTGTGAGCTCTGTGAAGGTGGACAGTAGGTTGGATTGGTTGCTGTTGTCCCTGGGCCCAGAAGAGGGCTGGGCACAGGGGGAATTATCAGAGAATATTTGGATTGATGAGTAAATGAATAGAAGACCCAGGTCAAATGGCCAATCTCAACAAATAAATGAGATGCCTTGGAGGCAACGAGACGCCACCAGTAAGTGGGTGGGAAGGACAGGCAGCAGAAGTGAGGAAACGCTTCCTGAGGAGAGCTGTGCCCCCCGCCCCCATGAGCAGCCTGCCAGGGAGGTATCTGAGTGTAAGGCTGAACACTAAGGCCTGGGACAGCCTGGGGTGTGGGGAGGTGGCAGGATGGCCACTGTGGGCCTCTTAGAAAGGGGCTGGTCAGGGTTTGGGAGCCCGGGCTCTGGACCTAGGCTCCCTGAGTCTGGATCCCTAACTTCTTTGAGCTCCAGTAACTTCCTCTGTAAAGTGAGACTAAAAATGGTCCTGCCCCCACACACTATGATCAGGTGTCACATGTATAGCACCTAAAGCAGTGCCTGACATCATATTAAGGGCTTGGTATTTGTTAACCGTTACTATTACTTTTGATTTCTTAACTCCAGACATGATACTGCTCCTTCTCCCCCTCACCTCAGTAGTGGGCTTAAGGCTTGGCCCTTCAAAGACCCCAGAGTTGGGGGGACTCACCTCGATGTAATGGTCTGTGAATTCAGTCCCAAATTCCCGGCTTGCACCAAAGTCCAGCAGGGTCACCTGGG